AAAAAGAATGGGATTGGGGTACATGATGTAAAATTCCCACAGAATCAATAAAAATGTTTTTAAATAAGATGATCTACCCCCTTGATCTCCTTTTGTTGTCTCTAGCTAGAACTTCAAGTATTTTATTGAATAGGTATGGAGAGAGTGGACACCCTTGTCTTGTTCCTGATTTTAGTGGAATTGCTTCAAGTTTCACTCCATTTAATTTGATGCTGGCTGTTGGCTTGCTATAAATTGTCTTTATTATGTTTAGTAATGTTCCCTGTATTCCTGATCTCTCCAATATCTTTTTCATGAAGGAGTGTTGAATTTTGTCAAAGGCTTTTTCAGTATCTAATGAGATGATCATGTGATTTTTTTTTCTTTCAAGTTGGTTATATGGTGAATTACATTGACAGATTTTCATATGTTGAAACATCCCTGCATCTCTGGGATGAAGCCTACTTGATGATGTGTGATTTTTTTGATGTGTTCTTGGATTCAGTTTGCTAGTATTTTATTCAGAATGTTTTCATCAATGTTCATGAGGGAGATGGGTCTGTAATTCTCTTCCCCAGTTGAAGCTTTATGTGGTTTGTCTATCAGGGTAACTGTACTCTCATGAAAAGAGTTTAGTAATGATTCTTCTGTTTTTATTATTCGGAAAAATTTCAGGAGTATTGATATTAGCTCTTCTTTGAAATTCTGGTAGAATTCTGCACTGAAACTATCTGGCCCTGGGTTTTTTGTTTTTTGTTTTGGTTTGGTTTTTGTTCTTTTTGGTTGGGACATTTTGATAACTGCTACTATTTCCTTAGGGGTTATATGTATCTGGAGTTTTCTCCAGTCCCACCAGGGCCTGCAGCCTCTCAGACCCAAGTAAACACACAGAGGCTTTTATTAATTATAACTGCTTGTTCATTAGCTCAGGCTAACTACTGACTAGCTCTTACACTTAAACTCAGCCAATTTCTGTTAATCTATATGTCGCCATGTGTTTCATGGCTTTACCTGTGTGCCATTATATGCTGTTCCCAGGACAGCAGTTGGCATCTCCTGACTCAGCCTTCCTCCTCCCAGAATTCTCCTTGTCTGCTTATCCTGACTATACTCCCTGCCTGGCTACTCACCAATCAGCATTTTTTAAAACCAGTATACAAAAGCATTATCCCACAGCAGTTATAGGTCTATTTAAATTGTGTATCTGATCTTGATTTAATTTTGGTATGTGATACCTATCCAAAAAATTGTCCATTTCTTTTAGATTTTCCAATTTTGTGGAGTATAGGTTTTCGAAGTATGACCTAATGATTCTCTGGATTTCCTCAGTGTCTATTATTATATCTCCCTTTTCATTTCTGATTTTGTTAATTTGGATAGTCTCTCTCTGTATTTTGATTAGTTTGGTTAAGGGTTTGTCTATCTTGTTGATTTTCTCAAAGAACCAACTCTTTCCTTCATTGATTCTTTGATTTGTTTTCTTTGTTTCCATTTTAATGATTTCAACTCTCAATTTGATTATTTCCTGGCATCCATTCCTCCTTGATGAGTTTTTTTCTTTTTGTTCTAGAGCTTTTAGGTATACTGTTAGGTCACTAATGTGAGATTTCTCCAACTTCTTTTATGTGGGTATTTAGTGCTATGAAATTTCCTCTTAGCACTGCTTAATAGTGTCCCATAAGTTTTTGTATGTAGTACATTCACTTTCATTGAATTCTAGGAGGTCTTCAATTTCTTTCTTTATTTCTTTCTTCACCCATTGGTGATTCAGTTGAGAATTATTCAGTTTCCATGTGATATGATAATATACATAAGTGACCCCAAAAATTCTACCAAGGAACTCCTATACCTGCTAAACACCTTCAGTAATGTGACAGAATACAAGATTAACAAGAAAAGTCAGTAGCCCTTCTATATACAAATGATAAATGGGCTGAGAAAGAAATTAGAGAAACATCACCCTTTAAAATAGCTACAAATAATATAAAATATGTTGGGGTAAATCTTACCAAACAATGAAAGACCTGTATGACAAGAACTTTAAATCTTTGAAGAATGAACTTGAAGAAGATATCAAAGAATGGTAAGATCTCCCATGTCCCTGGATAGGTAGGATCAACATATTAAAAATGGCAATCTTACCAAAAGCAATCTACAGATACAATGCAAACCCCATCAAATTCCCAATGAAATCCTTCACAAACCTTGAAAGAACAATACTCAACTTCATATGGAAAAACAAAAAAATCCTGGCTAGCCAAAACTATTCTATACAATAAAGGAACTTTCAGAGACATCATCATCCCTGACTTCAAGCTCTAATATAGAGCTATAATTGGCATAAAAACAGACACATTGATCAATAGTATCAAATTGAAGACCCTGATATTAATCCACAAACCTACGAACACCTGATTTTTGACAAAGAAGCCAAAATTGTACAATGGAAAAAATAAAGCATCTTCAACAAATGGTGCTGACATAACTGGATATCTACATGCAAAAGATTGCAAATAGATCCATATCTATCACCATGCACAAAACTCAAGTTCAAATGGATCAAAGACCTCAATGTAAGTCCAGTTACACTGAACTTGATGGAAGAGAAAGTAGGAAGTAGTCTTGAATGAATTGGCACCGGAGACCATTTCCT